AACACAAACACATCCTCACAAACCCCACAAACACATCCTCATAAACACCATAAACACATCCTCACACACAACATGAACGTATCCTCACAAACACCCCCTCACAAACACCACAAACATCCTCACAAACACCACAAACACACCACACAAACACCACAAACACACCACACAAACACCACAAACACACCACACAAACACATCCTCATAAACAATCCTCACAAACAGATCCCCACAAACGCATCCTCATAGATGCATTCTCATTAACTCATCCTCATAAACACCACAAACACATCCTCACAAACAGCACCACAAACACCACAATCACATCCACACAAATACATCCTCACAAACACCACAAAAACAACCCCACACACATCCTCAAAAACACCATAAACACATCCTCACACACACCACAAACACCCTCACAAACACCAAAAACACACCACACAAACACATCCCCACAAACCCCACAAACACAGCCTCATAAACAATCCTCACAAACACCATAAACACATCCTCACACACACCACAAACATACCCTCATAAACACCACAAACACCCTCACAAACCACAAACACACCACACAAACACAGCCCCACAAACATCCCCACAAACACATAAACAATCCTCACAAACACCACAAACTCACCCCCACAAACCCCACAAACACATCCTCAAAGCACCACAAACACCCTCACAAACACCACAAACCCCACAAACACATCCTCATAAACGATCCCCACAAACACCATAAACACATCCTCACAAACACTGCAAACACTACAAACACCACAAGCACATCCTCACAAACAATCCTCATAAACATCCCCACAAACCCCACAAACACATTCACATAAACAATCCTCACAAAAACCATAAACACATCCTCACAAACAATCCTCATAAACATCACAATCAGAACCCCACAAACACCATAAACACATCCCCACAAACACCACAAACACATCCCCACAAACACATCCCCATAATCAATCCTCTCTTCCTCACTGTGTTACTGACCTCCCTCCCACTTCTTTGCTGATGGAATTATTTACAGATATTTACGCTATTTGGAGTTATTTACAAATATTTGCTTTATTCTTAACGTTTTTAACCGTTTTGTTCCCTGTTCCATCTTCCCTTTATATGTGTTTTTCTTTTTTATATCTGAAATTCTTGGTGCATAGTTTTAACCACAGATGAGGGAGGGTGTGACTTCTCAGAGGGGGTTCAAAAGCTCCCATTCCGCAGGAAAATGTGGATTTGGTGACCGCTGACGGGTTTGGATGGTTTCTTCTTGTGCAGGTGTTGTACAAAGAGAGCGTGGGGACAGGGACCCCCACTCCCGTCACCCCCGAGATGGAGAGGGTCAAACGCAACCAGGAGATTTGCAGCTCGGTACTTTGCCAAGAGCAGAACTCCCCTTTAACTCTTGAAACCCAGATTTGAAACCTTTTAACTCTTTCCAAGCTCTTTTTAACCGTTTGGAGAAGGATTTGTCCCAAAATAACGCAGAGCGGGGCTCGCTGCTCACCCGTGGCTTTCTCAGGTTGAAATGTTAACTCGGGTCGGTTGATCTTGGTTTTAAGAGTGATTTTAATGTCTTGTTCTAATCCTAAACTCGCTCAAACCCCTCTCCTTTTCTCTGCAGTGCTGCCATTTCTTTTATAGCAGTTAATTGGGTTTTCTTGCCGTGCTGAGCCCCTCCAGGGGCATTTTGTGCAGTACTTACCCCATTTAGCAGCAGCAGCAGCTCAAACCAAACTCCTCCTCTACTAAAACCAGGACCTGCTTTAAAACCAGCTGCAGGACCAAATTCCAAGGCGAAGGGAAAATCAATCCGTTCTGACCGTGCCTTTCTGCGGCTCTTCTCGCCCCGCAGGTGTTGTACAAGGAGAACATAGGGAAAGCCACCCCCACCCCCGTCACCCCCGAGATGGAGAGGGTCAAACGCAACCAGGAGATCATTAGCTCGGTACTTGCAGCAGGAAAAGTTCCTAAAAATCAGAGTGGAGTGTTTAACCTGGCTGGAGGCTCAGCAAGCTGTGCTTATTAACCCCTGAAATGCCTCTGTCCCTAGGCCCCGCCCGAGCTCACACACAGACTGTGCAGGGAAAAATTCCATTTTTTGGGGTGGATGGTGTTGTCCTGATTGAAATTTTTTTTAACCCTTTCTTACTCCCCCTGTGCTTTACTGCCGATGATTCCAGCCAGTTCCTGCATCCCAGATTAATGGCAAAGCTCCAACTCCTCCCGTGCCCCAGCCCTAACTCGGTGTGACAGCTCTTTGTCTGTTCTTTTTGGGCTTTTTTTTTGGTTGTTGTTGTTTTTCTTTTCCTTTTCAATGACATTTGGGTACTCCCTTGTATCCTGTAGGTTTTGTACAAGGAAAATGTGGGGAAGGTGACCCCGACCCCCATCACCCCCGAGATGGAGAGAGTCAAACGCAATCAAGAGATCATTAGCTCGGTACCTTCCCAGAAATTTCTGGTTTCCTTTGTGCTTCAACCTAATCAAGTAACAGCCTAACTCCCACTCAGAGCTGGTTTTAATTTAAAAAGAGATGAATTTCTTTTCTTCTGCACATTAATTGCTCATTCTAAACCCAGATCACTTCTGTGTTATTGGTGTGATCCAGAATTTTAGCCTTTTTTACAACTCGGTTTGTCAGCTTGTGGGTTCTATCCAGACCATCTCAAGAGTTCAGATCCCTTGGTGGGGACCAGGGAATGTTTGGGTGGGAAGGGACACAGAGCTCATTTCATTCCCTTACTAGCCCAGGTTTTCCAGGGATATTCAGGCTTCTCTCTGTGTTCCGTGTTTCACCTTTGGTTGGATTTTCAAGTGGATTTGACTTCAGGGGAAAAACACCCATCATTACTGGGGCAGCGTAGCAACAAAACTTCCACCTCCCTCCTAAAAAAAAAATCAGGAATTGCTTCAAATACAGATTTTTTAAAAACAGATTTCTTAAACAACTTTTTAGAGCCAGAGGCACTTCCTGAGCCTGTGGAGCCACCTGGCTAGATCCCGTTTCCCAAATCCCAGTTTCCCCTCTCGGCAGCACGGGACGTTTGAGGATTTGAGAAGTGATAATTTTGTACCAAAGCCATATTTTGTGTCCCAGCCGCGGTGCTGGGGGCTGTGTAAGAGCCCGGCTCGCTGTTGTGTCCCCCGCAGGTGTTGTACAAAGAGAACGTGGGGCAGGCGACCCCCACGCCCGTCACCCCCGAGATGGAGCGGGTCAAACGCACCCAGGAGCAGATTAGCTCGGTATCCCCCGGGAAAACCCTGCCCAAACCTCCCGCCAGAGCATGGCACAGAGCCCTTGAGTAACCTCACTCTGCCTGCTTTTAGTTAACCCTCCAATTTCTTTCGAAAGCCACCTCTTAAGGACTGTGGTTGTAAAGGATTTTTTGTCGTTTAACTTGTTAACATGATTTTCCCTGATTTTTTCCCCCTTTCCTAATTTTAAAGATTGTTTTTGTCATTTAACTTGTTAATACGATTTTTCTTGATTTTTTCCCCCTTTCCTAATTTTAAATGATATTTTTTATCATTTAACTTGTTAATACGATTTTTCCTGATTTTTTCCCCCCTTTCCTAATTTTAAAGGATTGGTTTTGTCGTTTAACTTGTTAATACGATTTTTCCTGATTTTTTCCCCCCTTTCCTAATTTTAAAGGATTTTTTTTTTTTGTCGTTTAACTTGTTAATGCGATAATATGGTTTTTCCTTAATTTTTTTTTCCCCCTTTCCTAACGGCTGGTGTTGAGTGTAAACCCAGTAACAGCCCAGTTGTGGAGTTCTGCCCCGTGACTGAGTTCCTTTGTGGTCTGTAGGTTGCATACAGGGAAGGTTTAGGGAAGGCCACTCCCAGCCCGATCACTCCGGAGATGGAGAGAGTCAAGCGGAACCAAGAACAAATCAGCTCGGTACTGAAAGCACAGCCAAGCACCTTGTGTCAAAAATAACCATCCTCAGCCAAACTCCGCCTAATTCAGCCTTACTTCCCCACTTTTCCTTATTTTTGCCTATTTTCCCTTTGATTTTTTAAAATATTTTTTTCTTGCCTTTTGCCAATAACGTTTCAGCTGCTTTCTTTCCCGAGATCTTTTCCACTCCGCAGGGCTGAGTTTGCTTGAACGTTAACCCCAGTGCCAGGAGAAGCTGGAATTCTCCCAGCCCCAGCTGTGTTTGTGCCCTGCAGGTGCTGTACAAGGAGCACATGGCCAAGGGAACTCCGACCCCGCTGACCCCGGAGATGGAGAGAGCCAAACGCAACCAGGAGAACATCAGCTCGGTGGGTGAAACGCAGGAAAAGAACATTTCATCCCCGAAATCCACACTCAGACGGGAGAGGTTTGGAAGGATATGGAATGATTTAAAACTTTCTGGTGCTGTCAAGTATTTCTGTGATGAATTGGGTTCTCCAGGGTGGGGCGTTTAAACAGTTAAATTTCAAATTACTGCCGTAACACTCTGTGACGTATAAAACTACGGTTCTTCAGTAAGAGTCACTTATAAAATTGTATAAAAATCTGGGACTGGCCCTTCTTTGGCAGCCTGGTTCTCCAGAGGTAACTCTGTGCTCCTCCTCCCCTGGCAGGTTCTTTACTCTGACAGTTTCCGCAAGCAAGTCCAAGGAAAAGCCGCCTACGTCCTGGACACGCCGGAGATGCGGCGCGTGCGGGAGACCCAGAAGCACATCTCCACTGTAAGAGCACTTCCAGAGGTGTCCTTCCCCTGGGAAGGGAGTTCAGTATGAAAACAACCCTGCCTGGCAGCCAGGATGACGTGTCCTACCAGGTTTGGGTACCCAAGGCTTTAATGCTAAAGCCAGTTCTGGGATTAGGATTGGGAAAGCCAAAGTTCAGGAGCTGGAAACGCCTCTGGGGGAAGCAGGAATCCAAACCCTTTGGAATTGCAGGTGAAGTACCACGAGGACTTCGAGAAGAGCAAAGGGAGCTTCACGCCCGTGGTGACCGACCCCATCACGGAGCGCGTGAAGAAGAACATGCAGGACTTCAGTGACATCAGCTACCGGGGCATCCAGAGGAGGGTGGTGGAGATGGAGCGGAAACGCGTGGACCAGGACCAGGAGAACCTCACAGGTCAGGAGATCTGGGCACATCTGCTACAGGAGGGGTTTAATTTAAGCTCAGCCACATCAATTCCAATTCATCACCACCTGGAGATGTTTTTATCCGAGTCCTTTTTGGAAATGTTCTCTGCCAACAGCTGTGAATGACCTGTGACCCCACCTTGATAACGTCATGCTGCATTTATGGTTCTTCTGTTTTGAACTCCCATCTCTATCTATTAGAGAAATACCATGCTGTAGATTGATTGTAAAAAAGCCAAATTCATGCTATAGGATTGAGAAGCACTGATTTATAAAAAAAGGGGAATTTTTCAAATTCCAGACTGGTTTGGGGTGGAGGGACTTTAAAGCTCATCCAGTCCCACCCTGCCATGAGTCCCACTATCCCAGGCTGCTCCAAGCCCCATCGAGCGTGGCCTTGGGCACTCCCGGGGCTGGGGAGGGCACAGCTCCTGTCCTGCCAGCCTGTGGGGCTCAGCCTCTCAGGAAATTTCCTTTTTCCTGCAGGGCTCCGGGTGTGGAGAACCAACCCCGGCTCCGTCTTCGACTACGACCCCGCCGAGGACAACATCCAGTCCCGGAGTCTGCACATGATCTCAGGTGTGTCCCACGGGCTCCGAGGGAAAAATGGGATTTGAACTCCTGCAAGAATGGAGTCTGGGTGCCAGACAGAGCTGAGAGACCCCAAGGGACACAGGGGACTGAGGAGAAATTGGCTGTAGCTGCTCCTCACCGGTGTAACTTATGTTCAAAAAATTCATTATTAATTTTCCTATCATATAATGATCCCACAGAGGCAGGAGGAGGATTGTTTATATGATCCACAGCTGCCATGATACAGCCTGTGCTTCCTTTTGGAATTACTGAACAGGAGTTTGTTCTCAGTGACATTTTTTTTAACTCCTGTCTGAGAGGAAAATACCTGGATGGTAGAAAATTGTGGGGATGGCCCAGTGCTGTGTCAGGAAGAAAATCAGAGGATAATTAGAATAAAAATTCTGGAAGCAACGAGGACTAAGGGGAAAGAGGCTGGAGAAAGGATAAAATACTGTGAATACTGAAGAGCAGTATTGGAATGGAATACTTAAAAAAGCACTGGGAAATCCCACAGTGGAGCTATAAAACTACACTGGGATCGTGGAAAAAATGAGATTAGCAGGGCTGGGTTCTACAAGGCCTCAGCTCTGGGGTTGGTGGCTCTGAGAGCCCCGGGGTTGGTGACACTGAGGGCCCTGGGGTTGGTGACTCTGAAACCCAGGGGTCGTGACTATGAGCCTCAAGGGTGGTGACACTGAGAGCCCCAGTGCTGGTCACTCTGAGAGCCCTGGGGTTGGTGACACTGAGAGCCTGTGGGTGGTGACTCTGAACCTCAAGGCTGGTGACTCTGAGAGCCTCAAGGGTGGTGACACTGAGCCCTGGGGTGGTGGCTCTGAGCCCAGGGGTGGTGACACTGAACCCCAGGGGTGGTGGCTCTGAACCTCAGAGCTGGTGACTCTGAGAACCCCGGGGTTGGTGGCTCTGAGAGCCCTGGGGTGGTGACACAGAGCCCCAGGGGTGGTGACACTGAGCCCAGGGGTGGTGGCTCTGAGCCCAGGGGTGGTGACACTGAGCCCTGGGGTGGTGGCTCTGAGCCCAGGGGTGGTGACACTGAGCCCAGGGGTGGTGGCTCTGAGCCCAGGGGTGGTGGCTCTGAGCCATGGGGTTGGTGGTGGCTCTGAGCCCCAGGGTAGTGGCTCTGAGCCCGGGGTGGACTGTCCCCGCTGTCCCCCCAGTCCAGGCGCAGCGCCGCAGCCGGGAGCACTCGCGCTCCGCCAGCGCCCTGAGCATCAGCGGCGTGGCCGACGAGAAATCCGAGCCCTCGGACGGCACCGACCAGCGCCTGTCCTACTACAGCAACGGGGGCTTCTTCACCACCACGGCCACAGGTACAGCCACGCCTGGGGACACACAGGCTGCCCAGCTGCCCGTGGGCAGCCATCCCCACAGCCAGGAAACCACGCAGCTCCAGAACGTCGGGTTGTGCACGAGCAACAGCCGTAAACGCGCATTTGGAACTGACCTTAACCCGTCCCTGTGGCCCATCCCTGAACTTTATCCCAGCCAGCTCCATTGCAATCCCATAATAACCCCACACGATGATCTTTATCCCAACCATCTCCATTGCAATCCCATAATAACCCCACACGATGATCTTTATCCTGACCAGTCCCATCACTGCCACAGAATGAGCTTTAATCCAAACCAGCCCCATTGCAATCCCATAACCCCACACAATGATCTTTATCCATCACAATCCCATAA